AAAAAAAAACTAATGCCGAATGTTTTCTGACATGAGGAGGCTGATTCAAAGTGGGGTAGAGAGGGGGAACATGGGAGAAATAGCGAATTCTATATAGGGAACAGGGGTGGGTGGAAAAGACGGGGCAGGGGGTTAGCAAGAATGGTGGAATATGATGGACATCATCATCATCATCCAAAGTACATGTATGAACACATGAATTGGTGACAACGTACATTTTATACAATCTTAGATATTACACGTATACAGCAAAATTTTTTCATAAGAATTGTAATGCATTCTGCTGTGATTTATGTTAAAAAATCAATAAAAATAAAATAAATACACTCAGCCTGCATGAGGATCAAAGATGAATATTTTCAACCACTCACCAAGACATTAAATTGCATTTTTGTTCTAGAGGTTAGCTGCAGGAAGAGCAGGAATATATGTGAATTTCAATAATGATACCTACTGGGATATACTTGGTTGAAATACGAGACAAAACATCGATGGTAGGAAACGTGCAGAAAATCTGGGAGGAAGAAAGTTATCATGAAAGGAATCAAAATTCCCTCAAGCTCAGCAGGTAGTAGCTGTGATGACAAATGTCAATCCAGGCCAATTCTTCCTAAGTTAACACAAACCCTCACTTCATGCATGGGGAATACTGCTCATCAGCAGTTTAAGAAATGAAAGAATGATTAAAGCTCATCATTGGAGAAAATTCCCATTTATTGAGGAACAGCTCTGCATATTTATATAGCCAGGGGTGGTTTTACAGTTATGAGAGTTTAATGGTTGAAGGGTTTGACAGTTGGCATGGGGTGCTTTCTTATTGGTGGGTAAGGATCATGAGAGCCAGGAAGGCTAGTCTGATTGGTGGGTAAGGATCATGTGAGCCCAGCAGGGCTCACCATTGGACGGCTCTTCTTGGGAGATGGGGAAGTTAGTCTTTGGAGCCGGGGAGACTCCCATCAAGAAATATTTACCCAAATTTAATATCATGCACAATATATTTTGCTTGCAATGTGCATTTTTCTTTAAAAGATCACAATTTTTTACTTCAACATTGGGTTATTTAATTTTTTGAATTTTTATGATTTTTAGAGTCAGCTGGGTAATTTTTTACAAAATGACTTTTGGATTTTGGTTTAATTATATTGAATCTGCAGACCCACTGTGAAACACTGTGGTTTTAACAAAATCAAACTTTTGATCATTGGATATTAGCTGTTTTCCAATTTTGTTTCCGTAATTTTTTTTTTTTTTTTGTATTTTCACCTTTACATTGCAGTGAACAGTTCTTTTGTTAATAATTTCATTTTAAATTATTTTTTCCTATAGTTGTGAATGGATTTATGCCTTGATATTAACTCTGCCCATTGCTAGTATATATAATTTACATGACTTAATGTTGACCATTTAACCCATGACATTATTGAACCAATTTAAGTCTTATGTTTCATTAGTACATGAAAATTGATTAGAAACAGAGAAATAATAGAATCATCTGCATATGCTGACTTTTGATGTATAAAATCCTATTCAATGTTCTCAGAACAATAATTAGAAGTCAGAAAACCATACTTTTTTTTCTTTTTTTCTAAAACTAAATTGTGAAACACTTAGGTTCTAACCATTAAATATGAAAACAGTTCATATCTGTCCTTTAGTGAATGAAAAAAAAATTTTTCTCTGGTCTTAATTTGCCATAGGTTTTACAGTAATTTGGTAAGTGATCTGGCAAAAACTTTTCTCTATGAAAATGATTTTTTTTTTTTTGGAAACTGACCATATTGTCCCTCTTGGTCATGAAGTCCAATCTTTTTTTTTTTCATTGTTATTCTCAGTTTTCTAGGGGTTTGAATATCTGGGTCAACATCTAAGATGGTCAGCAATTTCTATTCTTATGCTGTGTTATCTGGTAATTCTGCCCTCACAAAAAGAATTAGTCAATTTTCTTCTATTTTTAGATGTAATCATGAATTACTGTTACTGATTCCTTATTACATGTTTGGTAGAAATGAACTGTGAAGGCGTCTTTTTAAAATATGATTACTGTTTTGTTTTTTGTTTTTTGTTTTTTGTTTTTTTTTTTTTTTGGTGGGTTGATTTTTGGAGCTGGGTTTTTTCCAGGTTGGCCTCACATTCCTTAGCCCAAATCCTCCTCCTGCTGTAGTCTCACAGGTAGCTGGGACTAGTGGCATGTGCTCCCATATCAGCTTTTCAAACTTCTCAAAAATATTTGCAATTAAACTAAATGTTGATTTGTAGGTTTATTTTATATTTCTTCACATCTGGTTCTACTAATGTATTCTATTGATTCCTGAGGTAATTTTCAAAGTTCATGATTATCTAGCAATTTATCTATATTTTGTTGTTTTCCAGGCTCAAGACTTTTTTGGCAATTAAGATGGAATGATGAGCAAGCATAATGTGGGGAAATGAGAACCTGGCATTTTGTGAATTGACCAATGTCTCAGGATGCCCTGTGAATGATGGAGAGTGTGCACCCATAATACTGTGAGACAAATGAAGCAGAAAAGCTAAATTATCATTTTATTTAGCCTAATAAGTGATCTTCAGTCGCTTTTATATGTCTTTACACACTTGTTTAATTTTTAGGGCAGAATCTAAGTATTTTACCATATTTAAATTAGGTTATTAAAGGTTTTTTTTTTTTTTAATTTTTTTGGTGAGGTGTGTACGTTCACACCAAACAAAAACAACCCAACAAAAACAATTCTTGTATCTTCCTTTGATATTCCTTTTTTTTTTCTTTTCTCTCTCCCTCTTCTTCCACCCTCACATCCAACATTTGTAAAACCAAAAACTTCTCATGGATTAGGCTACAGAGGTCTGGGATGAATGAATAGTATACTATAGTTGTGTTGTATATTATTTTATCTCCTATTTGTACATTTTTAATTTAATTTTTATGCTTGTTTTTTGTTCTCTCTACTGTCTTCCCACCTAAATGTCTCCTCAAAATCACTTTCTCTATTTTCTCCTGCTACTATCCAACTTCTTTTGATTTTTTTCACCCTTCCTAAGATCTAATAACTCTGTATCTTCACCTCCTAACCTCTCAACATTTCATCCTATACCCCATTCCTGGTTCTCTCTTTGTCCACACTAGAAACTGCAGATCCTTTTGAAACCTACTGTTTATATTGTAGATAATGATTGGACTTGCCTTTTCTGTATATTGTGACAAAGCCATAAACAGCTTAATAAGGGCTATTTGGTTTAAGGCTGCATATTGTTTGTATTGGGAACTGTGAATACTCATCTTCCACTTAAAAGAGAGGTTTTGGAACCCGTCAGGGACACTATCAGCCTATAGGAAAAAAACTGTAACACCCTCTAGCCCTGTTTCAAGGTAAGATTGCATGAACAACATGAAAAACCAAGGGAAGAATTTGCCTCAAACAAAGATACTACATTATTTGAATCCATGGTCAGAACAGCAGAAGAAATTACAGAGAAGGAGTGGAGGAGGTACATCACAACAGATCTACACCAAGGCATATTATACTGAAAATGCCTAGCATACATAATAATAGAGAATTTTTTAAGCCACAGAGAAATGAATCAGATTACTTATGGGGAAAACCAATTAGGATGTGTGCTGACTTCTCAACCGAGACCCTGAAAGCTACAAGATCCTGCAACAAGATATACACAGCTCTATAAGAAAATGGGTGCCAACCAAGGATCATATCCAGCTAAATTAAAATTTAGATTTCAATTTAGATGTGATTTTTATGACAAAATAAAAAACCTTTCATGATACACAAAAGTTAAAAGAATTTACAGCTAGAAAGCCTGCACTACAGAAGATCCTTGGCAAAATACTCCATGAGGAGAAAATGAAAAACAATGAAACTCAGAAAATGGAGGTATCACTCTAAAGGAAAAAACTATTAAAGAGAAAACAAGTTAAGTAAAATACCAAAAATAAACAAAAATTACTGGGAATACAAATCTTGTCTCAAAAATAACCCTGAATGTTAATATCTACAACTCAGCAATCAAAAGGCAGACTGGCAGACTGAATGAAAAAAAGAAGACCCAACAATGTGCTGCCTTCCACAGACTCATCTCACAGGAAAAGACATCCACAGACTGAAGGTAAAAGGTTGGGAAAAAATCTTATCACTCATATGGACTGTGGAAGCAAGCAATGGTTTCCATCCTTATGTCAAATAAAGTGGACTTAAAGTGAAAGTTAATCAAAAGGGATAAAGGAGGACACTACATACTGCTTAAGGGAACCACACACCAACAAGGCATAACAATTAGAAATATACATGCCCCAAACAAATGGAGCATCTATGTTCAAACAAACTCTTCTAAAGTTCAAGAGTCAAATAGATCTCAACACAATAATTCTAGGTGACTTTAACAAATCTCTCTCACCCCTAAATAGATCTTCCAAACAAAAGCCAAACTATAGAACTCACTAATACCATCAATACATTATATTTCACTAACATACACAGAATATTTCATCCTTCAACAAGCAAAGACACTTTCTTCTCACCAGCAAATGGATTCTCTAAATTATACCATATATTATGCAACAAAGTAACTCTTAGCAAATACAAGAAAGTAAAGATACTACTCTGCATTCTATCAGATCTTAACGGAATAAAATTAGAAATCAATGATAAAAATAGAAGCTACTCCAACATCTGGAGACTAAATAATATGCTAGTGAATGAACAATGGGTTGCAGAAGACATCAAAGAGGAGATTAAAAATTCATAGAGGTGAATGAGAATACAGATACAACATATCAAAATCTCTGGGACACTATGAAAGCATTACTAAAAAGTTCATTGCATGGAGTTCATTCCTTAATAAAAGAAAAAGTCAACAAATAAATGACCTAAAATTACATCTCAAAGACCTACATGGAAAAAAATAAAAAAACAGAGCCTCAGTTCCAGGAGTGAAGCGCGGACCTTTCAACAAGAGCTTTATTAATTCCCACGCTTGGATCTTGGAAAGAGATGGAGGTGGTGGCTAATTGCTCCCTGCGGGTGAAGAGACCTCTGTTGGACCCCCGCTTCGAGGGTTACAAGCTCTCTCTCGAGCCACTGCCCTGTTACCAGCTGGAACTTGACGCAGCTGTGGCAGAGGTAAAACTTTGTGATGATCAATATACACTGGAACCCATGCATGCTTTGGGGATGTATAATTACCTACACTGTGATTCATGGTATCAAGACAGTGTCTACTATATTGATAACCTTGGAAGAATAATGAATTTAACAGTGATGCTGGATACTGCCTTAGGAAAACCACGAGAGGTGTTTCGACTACCTACAGATTTGACGGCATGCGATAATCGCCTTTGTGCATCCATCCATTTCACATCATCCACCTGGGTTACCTTGTCAGATGGAACTGGAAGATTATATGTTATTGGAACAGGTGAACGTGGAAATAGTGCTTCTGAAAAATGGGAGATTATGTTTAATGAAGAGCTTGGGGATCCTTTTATCATAATTCACAGTATCTCTTTGCTAAAAGCTGAAGAACATTCCATAGCTATCTTAATTCTTCAAATAGAGAAAGAAGAATTGGATATGAAAGGAAGTTGTTTCTATGTTTCTCTGGAGTGGGTCACTATTAGTAAGAAAAATAAAGATGGTAAAAAGTATGAAATTACTAAGCGTGATATTCTCCGTGGAAAATCGGTGCCAAATTATGCTGCTATTGAGCCAAATGGAAATGGTCTAATGATTGTCTCCTTCAAGTCCTTCAAATTTGTTCAGGTTGATCAAGATCTTGAAGAAAATATGAATGAAGATATGTCAGAGAAAATCCAAGAACCTCTGTATTATTGGCAACAAACTGAAGATGATTTGACAGTGACAGTACGGCTTCCAGAAAACAGCATTAAAGAAGATGTTCATGTGCAGTTTTTACCTGATCACATCAACATTATGCTGAGGGATTGCCAGTTATTGGAAGGAAAGCTGTATTCATCTATTGATCATGAAAGCAGTACATGGATAATTAAAGAGAATAATAGCTTGGAGATTTTCTTGATTAAAAAGAATGAAGGATTGATATGGCCTGAGCTAGTGGTTGGTGATAAAAAAGGGGAACTTATAAGAGACTCAGCCCAATGTGCTGCCATAGCTGAACGTTTGATGCATTTGACTTCTGAAGAACTGAATCCAAATCCAGATAAAGAAAAACCTCCTTGTAATGCTCAAGAGTTAGAAGAATGTGACATTTTTTTTGAAGAGAGTTCCAGTTTATGCAGATTTGATGGCAGTACATTAAAAACTACTCATGTGGTAAACCTTGGAAGCAACCAGTACCTTTTCTCTGTCGTAGTAGATCCTAAAGAAATGCCCTGCTTCTGTTTGCACCATGATATTGACGCCCTACTCTGGCAGCCACACTCCAGCAAACAAGATGATATGTGGGAACACATTGCAACTTTCAATGCTCTAGGTTATGTCCAAGCATCAAAAAGAGACAAAAAATTTTTTGCCTGTGCTCCAAATTACTCCTATGCAGCCCTTTGTGAGTGCCTTCGTCGAGTTTTCATCTATTGTCAGCCTACTCCCATGTCCACTGTGCTTTACAACAGAAAGGAAGGCAGGCATGTAGGGCAGGTTGCTAAGCAGCAAGTAGCTAGCCTAGAAACCAATGATCCTATTTTAGGCTTTCAGGCAACAAATGAGAGATTATTTGTTCTCACTACCAAAAACCTCTTTTTAATAAAAGTAAATACAGAGAATTAATTTTTCCAACATGTTGACTTCTCTGTACTGGGAAAGTATTCAGCAGTGACTAAAGGACTGGGTAGTTATACCATAACCTGTTAAGTTTTAATGTGTTAAAAATATCTCATATGGATTTTTTATATTTTAAAGGATATTAGAAATGTATTTAAAAGATTATGATACTGTAAAAACTATGGAATGAAACTGCAGATTTAGAAACATTGGCTTCTGTAAAAAAATGTAGTATTGGCAAGTATAATTATTTTTAAAAAAACAAGCTAGAATCTCATATTTTATAAATGAAACATGTGTAGTTCAGTGTTTAAAATAAAAATATATATCATGTACTTTTCATTGATTAGGTTGGTACGTCTGTAGAATGTTTAGGTTAACAGTTGAAATGTTGAGTATTGTAAATACTTATTTAAATGGACTAAATATCTGAGTCTATGCAAAGCAGGAAGTATAGCAGGTTGAATAGTCCTAAAGTTGCTCAGAGATCTTGGTTGTCTTTCAGATGAAGCATGGCTTTATTTAATTTTTAATTGTTTTGCTCTGCCACCTAGATAAGGTTAACTACCATGTTATCCATTGTTGCATAAGAAAGTACCCCAAAACCCAGTGATTTAAAATAAGATTTATGACTTTTCACTGTTCTGTAAGTTGACTGGCTGTGCTCTGCATGGCCTCTCATCTTTTAGTATGCTAAACTGGGCTGCATCCCACAACAGAACAAATGTTTGAAGAGGACAAGCTTCAATATGCAGTACCATGCCTGTACTCCCTTCATATTTGCAAGTCACATGGCCAAGTCTAGAATCAGTGTCAGAGAGGACTATATAAGGACATAGACAGCAGGAAGTATGATTCAATAGAGCCATTAATGTAGTAGTCTACAAACAAGGACTAAGGACAATAAATTCTCATTGTTAGAAAAATAATAAGAATTTATTGTCATTATTTTTCTAACAGCTTAAACAAAATAATTCTGTTTGTACATTAATTTTTTTCACCATGATTTTCAGTTTTATTTCCCTAGGTTTCTTTTGTTCCCCCCTTTTTTTTTTTTGGTTGTTGTTGTTGTTTTGGTACCAGGGATTGAATTCAGGGGCCCTTAACCATTGACTCACATCCCCAGACCTTTTTTAGTTTTGTTTTTAGAGACAGGGCCTTACTGAGTGGCTCAGGGCCTTACTAAGTTGCTGAGGCTGGCTTGGATCATCCTGCCTCAACCTGTGCCCAGCTCCCTGGGTTCTTTTAGTTTTTAGTTATCTGGAGTTTTTCTTAATAAGACTTTACTCTAAAAAGCAGAAAATGAAGATAAAAAGAGGTAAGATAGAAAATAGCTGTTCCTAACTTATCTTTTGTCAATCTGAGCAAGTATTTCACTGAATTGGATTTTAATGAAAGAAGAAAAAACAGGCTTAACAGAAGAGAAGGGAAAAGATGGGAATTGCTTACATGTTCTTAATCCCATCTCAGAATGCAGTTTCCTAGAGAGAAATTTAAATGGGTTTAAAATATATTACTGATTTTTGCCCCAATTTAAAATAAAAGATTTGTAGCTTGGGTATATGGAAAATGTCAAAGTCAGAAAATATGGTTTCTAGATTGAAAGATTACATAAATTTACTTTTGTCTTCTCCCTGTACCAAAGAAGTTGCTTTCAAGTTTCTTCTCATAAATATACAGTTTTGAGGAGTTACTTAACTATTAAGTGAAAGTAATTTTCCTTAATCCATAAACTCAAATGTGAAAATCTAAAATAAAGTCTCATTATGGAGAATATAGTTATTATATCTTCCCCCACTGTGGAATTAGGCCTCTTAATACAAATAATGGAAAAACAGACCTAAATTAACTTAGGCAAAAGAGAGGAATTAATGGCTTATATTGCCAAAATTTCAATAATAGCTCTGAGTTTAATCATTGATACGTTAATGATCAGTTTTCACTCACAGCCACCTAGCTCCGTACGTGTTTGCTCCATATTTTAATAAGTTCTTACCTCACTATAGTGAGAAATATGGTTGTTACATCCCTGCATTCTTATATCTAATAGGAAACCTTTGTCCCAGAAATCATAGCAAAAGCTCATTGTGAATGATTGGTTCTTAATGGGTCAGGTTCCCATTTATGAGCCAACTACATGATAGAGATTTTGCTTTTGGAAAGTACCCACTGGCTTATATTTAAATAATACTCTCCGTACCTGGTGCCAAAGAGTGGAGATAGTAATACACAAATGAAATTATAAATTATGGTCTAGCTTCTGAAATAAAGAATGGATGTCACTGCCCCCAAATATAGGAAATGAGCACTGAAATGCTATTTACTACAAGAAAAATTATTAATAAAAAGAAATATAATGAAACAATGTGGTTATGGTAATAGAAAATTTCTGATAAATTCTTTTTTAAAAAAAAAGTAGCCATTTTAACAGCATTATTGAGGAATCGACTGAAAATAAAAGAAAATTTCAATGAAAGAAACATTGAAACATTTCACAAAATGGAGACAGGATTGCATTTAAGAAGCAGGGTTTGTGCACAATTTCAGCCTTTGCCTGGAATGTGAACTGTGGCCTCCTTCAGCCTTTGACTACAGGCATCTGAACCACTGGACAGTTAAGTTGTGCATAGCGATTCAAGATGCATACCAAGGGGTCTAAGTACTCTTGTTTATGGACATTTGCATTCTGTTTGTACTTTCTTTATCTTCTATCAGCCCTGTCACTGTTTTTTCTCAACATATAGAAATCCTTATTAGCTCCCACTTTTCCTGCCTTCATTGGAGCACTGATTCACAGCCATCTGAATCTGTGTATTCCAAATTACAATTTATAAAAGATTTCCTCTCCCCAAATAAAGTCCTTTTTCACTTAAAAAAAAAAAAAAAAGACAAATCACCACCAAAAGCAGTAAAGGACAGAAAACAATTAAAATCAGAGTTGAAATCAATGAAATTGAAACAAAAGAAGCAATTTAAAAATTGACAAAATGACTGGGAATGGAACCACCATTTGACCCAGCTATTCCTCTCCTCGGTCTAAACCTAAAGAACTTAAAATCAGCATACTACAAGGACACAGCCACATCAATGTTTATAGCAGTACAATTCACAACAGCTGAACTGTGGAGCCAACCTAGATGCCCTTCAGTGGACGAATGGATAAAAAAATATGGCATATATACACAATGAAATATTACTCAAAAATAAAAGAGAATAAAATTATGATATTTGCAGGTAAATGGATGGCGTTTTAGAAGATAATGCTAAGTGAAGTTAGCCAATCCCAAAAACAAATGCAGAATATTTTCCTGATATAAGGAGGCCGACTATAGTAGGGTAGGTAGGGGGAGCATGGGAGGAATAGATGAATTCTAGATAGGACAGAGGGGAGGGAGGGAAAGGGAGCGGAAGGGGGTTAGCAAGGATGGTGGAATGTGATGGACATCATTATCCAAAGTACATGTATGAAGACTTAAATTGGGTGTCAACATACATTATATACAAACAGAGATACAAAAATTGTGATATATATATATATATATATATATATATATATATATATGTATTAAGATTTATAATGCAAAAAAAGAGAATAGCATTATGTTAGATTAGGTAGAGGGAAGTGAAAGGAGGGGAAGGCAGGGGATGTGGGGATAAGAAAGAATTAGTAGAGTGAAACTGACACTGTTAACTTTATGTATGTCTGTGGCTGTATGACCAATGTGATTCTACAATATGTATACTCAAAAAGTGAGAAATTATATCCCTTCTATGTATGATATATCAAAGTATATAAGTGCATTATACTCTCATGGATAACTAACTAAAAGAAATTTCTTTAAAAAAAGACCACAGTAGAGCCAATGGTGGAAGTCCACAAATGCTGGAGAATCACCCATTCAAGAAGCTTGGAGCATAAGCCAGTGACCTCTTCTCTTGCTTTTTTCCAAACCAAACCAAATCAAAATATATATGTTCATTACAGGTATTCCCCATGCTTTCTGACTCAGCCTTCTGGAAGCACCTCACAGACACCTGCAGAGATCTTCCACACCAATTACCTAGATATCTCAATCCACTCAAATTGACAGCTGATATTAACCACTTCAACAATTGAAGGAAATGGAATTCATCTTTAGGAATATCTACACTCCTAAGTTAACTGCAACACTATCCACAACCTAAATTTCCATCAAAGCATAACTCAGTAAGAAGAACCTATAGTATATTATAGATAATAAAGAGAGATTTATCATTGTGTTTCCACACAGAAATATCACTATACATATATAACCTTTTCAGTTTTTTACAATTATCTTGAGAGAAGATCTTTTAAGGTGCAGAAGGTCTCACCAACATGCAGAGCTGGCTCCAAGATAGTGATTCTCCCCCTCAGCCTCCCAAATCCCTAGCATGACAAAAGAAATGTGCCTCCACACCTCACTTATTGCTCAGCTTTCAAAAGAAGGATGATGTATGTGGCAGTAGTGGCAAAATGTGAAGGTCAGCCTCAGGAGTTTGGTAACATTCTGTCTTTAAATTGAAAAACAAAATGACTGGGGATCTCTCTCACTGGTAAGTCAACCCTGGGTCCAAACCCCAGAAACAAAAGAATATTCTCCAATAACACAGATAAAGGTGGAAGACTTCAAGCTAAATTAGGTTATCCAGGCACAGAAATACATCACATACTCTGTGCAGAATCTGGAAAAAAAAATGGATGTATAGGGACAGCCTGGTGGTTATCAGGGGGCATCATCAATAATGTCACATCATATACTGGAAATTCCAAAAGACAAGATTCTGTTCTTAGTGCAGAATTGGGTAATTATATGAGATATGATGGGTTTTATCATCACATAGCAATTGCACATATTAATGGGATTCAGTGTGATGGTTTTATATATGCATACACATGTATTCATAATATCCAAATACCCTCTTCTACCCTTGATGCCCCCACACACTCCTCAGCCATACTAATCACTATTCCACTTTCACATGATTTTATTTCAGTTAATGTATATGAGATGTGACACTTTTTATGTGTGTATATTTCTTCACTTAGCATG